TTTACTGCTTTTGAAGTTGTGTACTTGTTGATTTGCATCATCAGAGCTGATTTCATATGCTTGCTGCTCTTCTGCAGCAAAATTTTGATACAGCCGAATTAAGTTAAACTTGGATATTTCATATGTTCCATTTTTTTTCCTCCACTCAAAGTTTAAATGCATTCATGGGACTCACAGTTTTCGAGATCCCACATTCGGATCTATAGGCGCTTGACTTTCTCCACTTAAAACAGTACAGGCATCCAAAGAGAACCAAATTCAATTGCATTGGCTCTATTTTTTGGCATAAACACATCTGAATGGTGGTGATTTTAGGCATGGAATTTTCACTTATCCGCATACTTGAATTGTTAATGGCATCAACGCATCTCATTGGTTTATTTTGATGTTACTGCTGATGCTGTCGGGTGGCATCATCCACTTCGATCACTGCTGTGGTCTTCCGTTCGGCAGACGGTTCATTTGTGATCAAATGGCAACTTCGGAATGCGTCTGTTACAAATGGTGGTTGAGCCTCTGACACTTGGCATTCATCAGTCTCCAATGCTATGCAAAATGTCATTTCAGATATCTTGCACGCTTTATGAAGGGTAGGCGAATGATAAGTTCAAATGCATATCATTCAGCACACATCTCCCATTTTTGCTCTCAGGACAGCTCTCCTCTTCGATCCGGCTATGCTGTCACACGTCTGCCTCTGTCCTCATGGAAATAATCCCCAAGTACATCCGGAGCATCCGCTACGGATTATCTCTGTCCTCGAGCGGATTGCCAGTTCTCGACTCCAGATACCTCGCGGTTTGCTCTCGTCCACCTCTCTCACCGCCTCTCCCGACCAGGAATCCTACCTGGCATTGTCGGAGGGTCTTCCTTTAGCCTTCTTCTGTCATTGGATGCGTGCACGCATGGCCACAAGGGTATGTGTCTATTCTTCCATCGTCTTTGTCGTGTGGATTGTCGTGACTGACTGCTGCCTTCAGTTATTGTCGTCAATGGAATTTTTTATCAATGTCTCTCAAATAACTGCCAAACGAGCTTTTCTACGGTGGTAATAAATGTGATTATATCATTGAAGGGGATAAGGCTGGGTTTTAAAGAGTAGCCTCTATTGTCACAACATTTTTGTTCTGCATAACTCGAAGCCTACGTGACTAACACCCCAAAAATTGCATCCTTTCATCCCTTGATGTTGCCATCACATGATTCTATCACCACTGCCACACGCAGCTCCATTTGGTTCGGCTCAGCTCAGCTCACTTCAGCTAAGTTGTTTGTGCCATAGCACTTGTATGCGGCTTTGATGTGTGGTATGTAGCGGTGGTTTGAAAGGCGTTTGTTGTGTTTCAAGCAATCACTCGGAATTTACGTTTCGGAGTATGAAGTGTCATATTTTACTTGGTGTGTTTGTGAATCCTCCTCCTTCTCCGTTCTTCTTTCGAAGCATCCTTCTTCAAGTCGCCTATGTTGTCTTAAACTATGAAAATTGACCTTCTTTCAGTGAGGATTACCTTCAAAAACACGGGTGATGGTGCTCTTTTTGGTCGGCGGTTTTTTCTCTAACCCGTATTTTGAATGTTTAAGCCTTAAAGGTGGAGGCATAAATAACGTCCAGTCTTGTGGGCAAGCTCAGGTCCAATGGCTTGGGAAGAGGGAGCACACGTTTTTCGCCACCACTGTTGCAGATGCTGGGATGGGCTGTTTTTAACTACCACTTTGCACCACCAACAGCTAAGCGTGGTCTGTTTATGCCAAAACGAATTGTGCAGTGAAGTTCTTTTTTTGTCGTGGCAAACGGAGAGAGAGAGAGAGAAAGAGAGAGATGAGGCACGTGCTCACCTTTACCCTACCCCATTCACGCAACGTCTTGGTGTTTAATAGGGAGTTTGTCATGCCACTTTGAGGGGTTTGTAGCCACTTGATCAAACTTTATAGTCTTGTCGTCTCCACTTAAGCCGATGACAGGATGTAGCGAAATTGATAGTAGAAATCACATTTCACAGTTTTGTTGAATAACTTTGGCTGTGAGTAGCGCAAGGATTGCTAGAATTTTGTTGGCATTCGACGTATACATGGTCATCTTCGGTTGCATTTCAAGAGGACCATTCCTCGTGACTAGGAGTGCGTTTGCCAAACTCCTCCATGAGAGGCTAGGATTCAAGGTCAACTGGACATGTTTATGACATTGGTGATTTGGCTGAAAATTTTGAAGGTGGATAGGTATCTACATCCAAGAATTTGGCACACTCTTTCCCCACCTGAAGTTGTTACTTGACAGCAGTGCTGGGATTCGGGATTCCACTTCTAATTACCTGTGTTTTGGCAGGCAAGATCTAGGCCCGGAGCGCCCTCATTTTGGATCACGGTAGAGCAAACAAAAATATTTTTCCATTGTTCCAGACAAGGTTGCTTCCATTGTCACTGCTGCTAACGCGGATATGTCAGTTCGCCTTTTTCCGCCTTCTTGGCCTATGCATCTTAAGGGGTTAAAAATTGACTGTCAGGAATGGATAAATGATGTCCTTTCGGAGGAGGACGAGAGCCTCTCAGACAACCTTAATCATCCTGTGTGATCTGTTATATCACTCTCTCAACCAATCTTTTTGGTCAAGCGATCCATTCCACATTGTCCGCCTTGAAATCTACATTGGCAACCACTTTATGCTCCTTACAGTCGCCTACAAGTTCGAAGGTATCAATTTGAGGTGAGGTTTTCTTAAAGCAAACCAGAGAGCTGGCACTTTGTGGAGCAGAATGATTGTTAAACATGAAGGTTCTCTGGAAGAAGTATCGTGCTCCTCAACCATTCTTTCCCTCTACCTTCCTCTCCAACAGTGTCTGGTGAAGTGCCTTAGATCAAAGGAATAAGTGGAGAGGAAAGTACGCTGTCATGACCCATCCTCATGCATGAATGTCCAAGTCTGGCGATGCGTTTGTCAAATTTGTACCATTAGCCATATGTCGACCAGAGAGTGCGTACATTTTTATGCACATTGCCTACTATTTTTGTCGACAAATCCATTTTCGGTAGATTAGCCTTGAGGCGCTCCGAGTCCAGGCCCCTTTGACTTTTCAGAGCTTAGCAGCTTTATGGGAAAGAAATGCAACATATTTAGTGGATTAAGACGTTGTTTTTAATTTCAGTCACAAT